GGTTATTAAATAAATAATTAATAATTAATATATCAATCATATATTATGTTAATTATAATCTATTAGTTAGTAAATAGTTGGTAAATAAAAAATAAATAGTAATTACTCAATTAATAATTAATATTAAATTATAATTATCAATATGTATTATACTAATCAATTATAATTAATAATTAGTAATTAATCATTATAAAAAGAATAATTACCAAAAATTAATTATGTGATATATCAAATAATTGATTATTAAATAAACATTAGTAATTAATTAACTAATTATTTAATTATATAATTAAAAGTTAATAATTTAAGTAGTAAACAGAATATTAATAAAATATGTATATACTAATTATTTTTCTTAATACACTAATTAATTACTTAGAATCTAATAAATATGAGTACATTACTAACATAGTAATTACTTATAATTAATTACTAATTACTAATTTTAATTATTTAGGACATTAATTTATTATATATTTAGTTTAATTATTAATGTCCTCATTAATGATAATTTATCCATTATTAATATATTATTAATATATTAATTTTTATTTGCTAAATAAATATCAATTATTAATTACTTAATATCTTAATTTAAGATTATTAATTACATGTACTCAAAACAAACATAATTGTAACCAAACACGATTTTACTTTTTTATGATACTCAAACCAATCTCTTGAAAGACTACCAAACGTACTTTCAGATTCGGTTCCAAAATAATTTTTAAAACAATCTCATTTTCATTTTTGTACTGAAAATAAAACTATTTTGAAAACATTTTTAAACGGGCCCAATATATCCGTTAAAAAGAAAAAACCAATATAGATATATTTTTTTTTCTTGAATGGTAAATCAATTTATTTCATTAAAATTTTTGCAGTAGGACTTGCAAAAAAAAAAAAAAAACTAATAGATTTTTTTCAACCACAAAAAATAATTTACTATCCTTCAAAAAAAATTATTATGTATTTTTTTATTTTAGTTATATTCCATAGTAAAAAATGTGCGTTAACTGTATGAGGTTCTACCAAAAAAACCATATTTAATTTTAAAAAGTTATATATTCTAATTTGATTATTATTATTATTATTTATACCTGATCCATATCCATTTCCTTTCCTAATAAAATACCAAAAATTTTCATCGAATTTTGAAATTTGATAATATTTTATTTTGAAGGGTATTTGATGTGATTTAAAAGTCTAAGATTGTGAAGTACTAATTGTAGTATTTTTTTTTTTTTTCAATTTAGTTTATTATGAATGTATTGAGTCATGAGTTCGAGTAATACTTTTTACTATTCCACTACATAATTCTTATACACACACACTTGCTTATATATATATATATATATATATATTTTTTTTTTTTTTTTAAGAATAAGTCACGGTTATTTTTGGACGTGATTGAAAAGATTCTGACATGTTAAGAAAATGTTCTAAGTCATAACTACTTGCACTAAGAGGAGAAAGTATATCATCTTACTGCTATATATAAGGATTAATGAATATTAAACTTGTAGTCTATAATAATCAGATATATATAGACGAATTTTCATGTATTGTGTTAGAAGGAACTTTGCAATAAACAAAGTTTTGAAATGACACTGGATGACATACCATTGTAAATTTGAATGATGATACTTTCGCTAAATAATTAAAAGCATGCTAGTCAACATTTTATCACATGTCTAAGTCCCTTGTCGACCATATATAAATTTGTATTTCTTGTACTTATTGCATGTTTCCATTCAATAAGCTTAAAAGAGACCACTTGTTGGTTGGCAAATATATTATTACCGCAATGAGACCTACAACTTTAAATGTTCACAGAAAGAATGTTCAAGGCAATTTGGTGAACAAAATGTGTCATTAGAGAGCTAGTTGCCTAATTTTGGTACCGACGCATTTCCTTATGGTCAAACAAATAACAACTAATGGACCAATTTTTGATTGAAATGTCGGATGATCGATCTATCGAGTGGACTATAATAGAATTGTATACCTAATTCATCCAAAACGCAGTGGTCCATTTTTTTTTTTTTTAAAAACTGATTGGAAATGCATTCAAGTTTGATTTTAAGTGTCGGGGTATATATATCCATTTAAGGTTTTCATTGAGGACCCCCACTTCTTCAAAATCCATATTAGATCTAAACATTCATTTGTTCGAGCGATATGTGTTATTGTTATATATATATATATATATAAGCCACACAACACCCATATATCGTTCTTCTGATGTGACAAAGCATCACATTTGGATCACTCAAACCTAGTATTATAGATTTCAACCAACATATATTTATGTATATATGTATATATTGCATAAGAAAAGGAATATATTTGGTGCACCGTATTGTATTGTATAATTTTTATATAATACGGTATTTGATTAGTGGTATTATTAAACATTATAGTATTTTTACCATTGTAATCTATTCTATTTACATATTAGTTTGTAATAAGATAAAATTTAGGCCTAATCATAACCCAATTCAACTCTAATCTCGACCCAAACCCAACATTTAGAGGAAGCAGCGGAGAAAATAAAGTTGCTACATAGGGGTCTTTTTGCAAAAAAAAATTTTAAAAAATAGGGTCAAATTGTAATTTTTTTAAAAAAATAAGGGGTGAAAATATAATTTTGAAAAATTTAAGGGGTCAAGGTATAATTTTAAAAAAAAATTAAGGGGTTAAAACACAATTTTTTAAAAAAGTTTAGGGGTCAAAATATATTTTTTGAAATGTTTATAGGTTAAAATGTAATTTTAAAAAAATATAAACCCAACATCACTTCTGTCCCGAAACTCGACCCCAATGTCAGTCTCAAAACCCAACCCCGAGCCTTAATATTTGTGAAATATTTTCTATGTTTTTAATATAGTATTTTAAGTTAAATTGCATAATACGGTCTAGTACATAAGTTTTTTTTTTCGTATTGTATTAATTTTGAATCTGGTATTAAATTATACAATGTATAAATGTTACTAGACATTATATTATTATTAAATAATACAATATGGATACAGTGTACTAAGAGAAACTTAATTAATACATACCTAGTTTTATTCATTACATATATATATATATATATTATCTATATGCGTTTGTGTGTATTAAATATTTGCGTCTAGTGGAACTCATTTGTGGCAAAGTGGGGATAAGAGGGAGGCGCCTTTACAAGGGGTGTTATACAAGAAAGGGATTTTCACAACTGTATGAGGTCCCAAATGACCATGCGATCTTATTAATTATAACGATTGAGTTAGTTGGATCAATTCATTGATAGTCGTTATCATAAACACAAATCACAGTCGAATAAAATAATTTATTTGGAGCTTAATTAGATAATCCAATTACATCACAATCTTTCCAGAAGAGACTCTAGCTATAGTTTGATCTCCTCTGGCAAGTCCACAACCATATATATATATATATCCTTTATTTGTCAAAAGATCATAAATAAATAATAAATTAAATATACCTAATACATAGTATTGTATAGGAAATCAACATATACAGAAATAATCTTGCTATGCCAGGTATAATTACGTCGCAAACTTGGTCAGTTTTTACAGCAAATTATATGCAATACATATGTAATTATATCAACTTATTATCTAGTTCTCCCCTTAATTTTTACATTCTTATAAGGTTTTTCAATTTTCTTACCCCTTTAGGAAAAAAAAAGAAAAAAAATAGACTCCAATATCTATATCGGTGAAAAGAAAAAGCTTACGTGGCTTACAATATTCTTGGTCGGAAAAGCATTGTCAAATGTTAACGTAAGGATCTCATGAAAAATGATTCCCACTACTTTTTTTTCCTAATTAAAAAATAAACGTTTCATTTCACCTCAATTTTTACTTGCAGAATGAATTCAATTTCACTCTTTTTTAGTTGAAATGAAAAGGGTTTAATTATGTAATTTTACTTGAAGAATGAATTCGATTTTATGTAAATTATTATGAATTCAACGTTACACAATTTATTAATTAACTGACGAGATCTTTTTTATTGACTGTTAAAATTCGAAT